AGTGCCCGCCAAGCCGGCGCGCGCCACCGACTCCGGCCAATGGGAGCCCCGGGCGGCGGCGGGAAGGGGCGGTTGCACGATAGTTCGCAGGAGGCGCAGGATGGCGGGACGGCGCGGGGCGCTCATCGTGCTGGAGGGCGTGGACCGCGCGGGGAAGAGTACGCAGAGCCGCAAGCTGGTGGAAGCACTGCGCGCCGCAGGCCACTGCGCCGAGCTGCTCCGCTTCCCGGGTGTGTGGGCGCGCCGGTGGCCTGGCGGGCGTTGCGGGGCGGCCGGGCGGCGAGGACCCCTGGCGAGCGGTCGCGGAGCCCGGTGCCCGTCCCCTGCCCTGCCCTTGCCCGCGCCAGCAGCTTGCGGTTGGGCGCGGGTCGAGGGTCGCCTCATCGTGGCGCGTCGGGGACGAGGAGAAACCGAAGCCTCGGTTTGCCCGCGGGCAGGCGGTCTACCCGGAGCTCCGGCTGCCGTCCGTGCACACCGTCTAGCCGTGTCCTGTCGCTCAGTTTCGATGCATCTGCGCCTTTACTTTTGCACAACTCTGTTGACCTAGAATTGATGTGCAACGAAGTGCACATATTTGAAGTGTGTGGTTTGACGAGCTTCAACATAATCGTACAACCGTGAAACTGTCTTCACAATGAAGACTGGCCGTGTGTATATCTGTCACTCTCAAAAGTTTCCTGGTGCTGTTTTGTAATCCATGTCTCAGTTTTTTGGGGGTTTTTTTTTGTTGTTGTTTTTTTGTTTTTTGCTTTTTGGATAGGTTTGTCCTCTGAGGAGTTTTGTGACATTTTTATTTTTTTACTTTTTAATTTCATTTATTTATTTACACATTGCAAGGACCTTGTCAGCTTACAATCCCTTACTTTTTTATTTTATTTTTTATTTTTTACTCCTACAGCACCTGGTATTCCCAGGCGGTCTCCCATCCAAGTACTAACCAGGCCCGACCCTGCTTAGCTTCCGAGATCAGACAGGATCAGGCTTGTTCAGGGTGGCATGGCCTTAGAGTTTGTGACATATTTTTAATTTTTAAAGTAAAGCATGGATCTTGAAAGTGCTTAGTAAAATATCAATATTTAGATAATCAAGAGATGGGAAATGGGAGAAATGCCTTTCTGAATATATGTTCCAGTCTTTTAAGCCAACCCGTCTACAAATCATAAATACCTCCTCTGAGGTAACTACATGCTACCCGAGGTTTTTTTCTCAAGTATCTTTGTCCAGGTGTGTCTGCATACTGCTGCCTTTTGTTAGGGAAATGCCTGTGGCTAGAGGGGAAGGTCTGAACCTGTAGATGTAGTACAATAACACAAACCTAGGCTTGAGTCCAGGACCAGAAGAAATTCAGCCCAAATGTATCCTAATTTAGACAGAAAACCTGACCTCACTTCTGTTTTTCTCTTTATTTTTAGAAAGATCAACTGAAATTGGCAAACTTCTGAGTTCTTACCTGGAAAAGAAGAGGGAGGTGGAGGACCACTCCGTGCACCTGCTTTTCTCTGCAAACCGCTGGGAACAAGTGTAAACGCTTTGCCCTCCTCCCCTCCCGCAGTGTGTTGCTTTCTCTTGAGGTTAAAGAGGGGGTGAATGCAGCCCTTGATTCTGGGTGCTGTTGCTTTACAAGGTTCTTTAATTCACTAGTCCTGTGACTAGAGGTCACATTGCTGCGCACTTCCCAAAGAGCACTAATTAATGCTTGTTTTCCCTCCTGCCTCTCCCCCACCACCTTGTAATTAATAGACTATCTTTTTTAGGTAGTGTCAGGTATACAGAAAAGCTGATCAAAAAGTACAGAGAGTTCCCCCATAACCCCTTCCTGTCCTCCTGTCTTTCATTAGTGTGTTAAATGTGTTACAGTTAATGAACTGATGTTGACACATCATTAACCGAAGTTTACAGTTCAGGTCGGCGTTTCATCCTCTCCCGCCCTTTTTTTAATTTTACATCGTCCTAGTAGATGCCCCCTTCACTCAGCACTTTAACGTTTCTCGAATGCCTGTGGTGTATGCCTTCAGCAGGTTTTGCTTCCGTTTACACCTTGGAGTTGTTTTGTTATAAATACATGGAACCCCACCTGCTTTCGAACTGCCTTGCAGATCTCTGACAGGTCCTCATTCTTTTCCGTTGCTGTCGTGTGTTGTCCACAGCAGGTATTGATGGCCTCTGGGTGGTCTTGCGGTGTTCCCCGTTACAGGCCAGGCTGCAGCCTCTCCTCGGCTTGGCCAGGTGTCTTGCTTAGAAAGGTGTTCCCCACTCCGAGTGGTAGATCCACGTGAGACTTTTTATATCTAGCACATCTGGAATTTATGGACATAATGGTTCTGATTTTGCTTTTTGTGGCTTTGTAGGAAAGTAATGGAGGCCAATTCAAATAAGAAATAACGCTGACTACTTCCAAAGTAGCAGTCTTGTCCCAGGTCAGCAGGTCAGCGTGTCCGGTCCGTCCCGTCTGCCCCCGCTCCCACGGCTCCAGCCACCGCTGTCAGATTAGCCTTCCTGAGACTTGAAAGTCCTCGGGTGAAGGCCACATGCCGAGTTAGCATCGGAGTGACGTTGGTCTTGCTCAGCCCCTCAACCGGCTTCGTCATCAGCACAGAAGGACCCCTCTTAGGTCTGGAATGAGGGACACGTGAAGCTGGCCAGGCTGGCCTGGGAACGGGTGCTCGGTTAGCCCGGGCTTTCGGAGTTCACCTGGTACTGGAAGTGCTTTACGAGGAAACTGGTCATTTCCTCCAGCCATTTAGTTTTTCCCCCTTAGCTTTGCCTCATCTTAACCGGATCAGTTGGTGGCCCTTGAAGGTACCTCGCCTTCTCACTTCCGTGGGGTTCCCCTGCACAGAACGGGGGCTGCATTCACCGCCTCTTCTGTATCTCCTGCCAAAACCAGCCGACACACTGGGCCTCTTAAACGCCTCCGTGCAGGAACTCACTCCTGGAAATAAATGATTCTCTTCCCATGGCAATTTAGCAGTTTTTCTACTCTACCTAAACTTTATTTTTAAATAACTTCAGTCAACTACAGAAGTAAGAAAAGCACCAAGAAGCGCCATGTGCTGTTTGCCAAGCTTCATCTGTCATTTCACATTCTGCTCACTCTCTAAAAAGCGTGGGCCATTTACTTTATAAGGTGCTGTGTGTCTGATGTCTCCTCAGGAGTAGACTGAGTGTGTGCTTTTGGCAGGAACAACACGGAGGTGACGTGGCGCTGGGGCCTCGGTATTGTGCCAGGAGAGTGCGAGGCTGCTTGGCCATCAGTCTCCCTGGGTCACCTGTGAGGGGTGCCAGTAGGTGACTGTCTTTTCTGTAGTCAACGGTTAAAAGGGGAAATACTACAAAACTATAAAATCTCTTTCGTTAGCAAACGTCGACCTGCTTTAGCGTTCGTTAATAATCCTGTTGAGACAATCCTTGTGATTTCAAGCGGCGATGTTCTAAGTCTGTCATTCTTTCTACCTTTATTAGTTGGCTTTCTGCCTCCCCCATTCATCATCCATCATCAGTGTAGACCCACAAATTCTGTTTCCTCAGTAGTCACAAGCCAGTACTGTCATTTGTTTTGATGTTTAGACTATTCCAAATTTGGCCGGTGGGAATCCCTTCAACCTGGCTCCTGTGCCCATCTGACATCTTCCCAGGCCTCCTTTTCCGAGAAGTTACTTTGGCATGACAGGATGTACAGGCTTCTCTTGTGTTTTCTCCCACGTTGGCGCACAAACCAGCTGTCGTTCCTTCTAGTGGAGAGGCGCTTAGAAGCCCGACCTCTGGGTGCTGGCGTGCTCACCCTGGTGACCTTTCTGCATCTGTACCTGTTTATCTGCTTTAGCCCCTTATCTGGTTTCACTTTTCATGGCTGAAAATATTAAATGAAAAATTCCAGAAGTGAACAATTCAGAAGGTTTAAATGGCATTCCGTTCTGAGGAGTGCGATGGGATCTCGCACCTTCCTGCCCTGCCCTGCCCTGCCCTGCCCGGGACCGGGACTGGCCCTTCGTCCAGCGTCTCCAGCTGTAGGCACTCTCTGTCCGTCAGTCACTTAGCAGGCATCTCAGTTACCAGACTGGCCTGTGGGGTCACAGTGCTTGTGTTCAGGTCACCCTTATATTAGCGTCCCCAAAGTGCAAGAGTGGAGAGTGACGCTGCCAGTTCGCATGCGCCACAGGGACGCTGCACCGTGCTTTCAGTAAAAAGGTGAAAGCTCCCGCTTTAAGGAAAGGAATTATATGCTGAGGTTGCCAAGGTTTACAGTAAGAATGAATTTTAGGTAATATATAAATTAAGCCTTATTGTCTATGTATGTATAGGAAAAAAGGATACACAGGGTTTGGTACTGTCTGTTTTCGGGCATCCCCTGGGGGTCCTGGAGCGTCTCCCCTGCAGATGAGGGGGGCCACGGTACATACTTACACTAAAACTCGGTCCAGCACCACAGGGCACCTGGCGCCCAGCCCCTGCTCGGTCCTGCAGTCCACAGAGTTGGTCCAGAACTGCTGTCCATTCCCTGTGAGAGCCTGCATAGAAGTCAAGGGTGCAGGGTACTGTGGTCAAAGGTATGTTGGGGCAGGTTTTTTCCTTCCCTGTGGGGTATAGTTAGGGTCATTGGACACTGTACAATTTCAGGGTTTTTTCCCCATCCTTGTTCATTTAGGTTTTTGAATACATAAAACAAATGGACTAAAAGTCAAGCACACAAGAAAGGTCACTGGCCTGCTCTCGTTTCTGGCTCCTGCCCTCCCCGTGGGTAACAGTGTCCCCTCCTGTTTTGTTTGTTTTTTTACTTTTTTTTCTTCCCAAAATAAGCAGATTCGTGTGTCGCCGATTCACCTTTCTTATACAAAAGGCCGTTGACTGTGTGTACTCGCTTGTCCTCTTAGTGACACATCAGGAGATGGTGTGACGTCTGCTTGCAGCATCGCATTCTTCACGGTTGCAGTGTTTTCTGTTTGCGGATCGGGCAGTTTTTAATAGTTTGCGATTACGAGTAACGCTGTGATTAGAGCTGAATCGTGCTGTTGCGGGGCTCTCCCCCCCGCCGCTGTTGTGTGAGCTGCTCCAGGTCACAGGTGTCAGACACCCTTCTGTTCCCCAAAGTGCTTACATCAAGCCCTCGGCCTCTGCACATCCTCCTGAGCTCTTAGGGCCCGTGGGAAACCCGCTGTCACCTCCTGTCCTGCTTGTCTCCTTGCATTTCAGGGTTGAGGGTGAGCATCACAGCGTCGCCTCCTGCTGTGTCCACCCTTTCCGTAGTGCCCTGAGCAGGTGGCCCGGCCCCTCCTCCTGCCCAGACAGCTGAGCAGCCCTTCCCGGAAAACTTTATCGTCATGTCTCCTCCTCAGTGGACTTGTCCTTCTCATGTCGGGCTTTGCTGGGATTACCCATGTGACACCTCCCAAAGAGAAGGTCCAGAGCTTTGGACAAGCATAAGGTTACGAGTTGGTGCCCCATAACCCCTTTATCATGTCGATGTCTGAGTCGCTGGATTGCGATGTCGGGCGATTTAAGCCTGACCGTTGAACTGAAGCATTCTCTATTTTTTAGGCCGTTAATTAAGGAGAAGTTGGGCCAGGGCGTCACCCTCGTCGTGGACAGATATGCTTTTTCTGGTGTCGCCTTCACCAGCGCTAAGGAGGTGAGAGCTGCTTGGCCCCGGGGGGGCGGCGCGGTGTGGCGCGCTGTCCTTGTTGGCACGGAGCAGCAGCTGGAGCACAGGTGCCCTCCCATCACGCTGCCGGAAGCCTGGGCCTCGCACCCGTTTGCTAGAATTCGGTCTTTATTGCTAGAAAGAACATACAGTCATGTAGCTGCAGATTGTTTTCACAGGTTAACCGTATTTTTTCCTTGGACGGTGCATTTCACATCACACATTTTCACAGATGGTCTGTCAGCCGAGCTTTTTCAGCCCAGAAGGCGAGAGCGTCTGGGCTGCTTTGCTCCCGTGGTCCTGTCCTGCCTGTCCCAGGTGGCATGGCAGTGACTGCGCAGCCCCTTTTTCTGTTTTTTTTTTTTTAGAAAGTTTCAAATATGTACCAGCAGAGAAAACGATAAACCACCCAGCACTGTGACCCACCATCCCCAAAATAACTTAATTTTACCTCAGAAAAGTTAGTAGTCATTCCATGATGTCTTCATTTAGTCAGTGTTCGAAGTTCTCAGTTCTCTCTCAGAAGCTGTTTCATTTCTCTTGTGCTTTTAGTTAGGATGAATCAGAATCCAATCAAGGCGCGTACTTGAAATGTGTGTTAAATCTCTTTTCGTAGGTAGGTTCCCGCTTCTCTGATCCCTTGCGTGAAAACGGTTTTGAACTCCGTTTTTTGCAAGGCCAGCGAGCAATGGGCTCTCGGGGCAGGAGCACAGGCTCTTTGCTCATCTCTTTTCCATGGGAACAGCCCCTGCTGGTGATTCATTCATGGGCGGTTGGTTACAAGACCTTTTAATTCTGCCAGTTCCTCCCGCTGGCTGGAATCCCGTTTTAAGGGACAGTCCCTTGTGAAGCACTAGCCACTCAGGTTCTGTCTAAAAGGAGATCAAGGCAAGTAACTAACACGCCACGGGCTGGTTGGTCCCCTTCGTCCTCCCACCGGCTACTGAGTGGCCGGTGGGCTCCTGCTCCGCGTGGTGCGGTCCTCAGGCCAGTGGCCCGAGTGCACTGCCCAGTTCTCGCCGTGCCGTCAGCTGCGCAGCCTGTTTCCTCCGGGAACGGGGACACTTAGGGTGAGCGGGTTTCTTCCCTCTTTGGAAGGGGGACGACACCCCGGCAGGTGTGTGAGAGGGGACACAACTGAGGCACGGTGGGCCTTGGGGGTGCCCGCCATGTGGCCTGTGGGGGGCTGCCTCAGCACGACCGGCTTGGGGCCACACGGGTCTGGGTGCTTTCGGACGTGTCTGCAAAGTCTGAACAGAAGGAGATGCGGGACATGGGAGGTCTGAGAACGGAGCAGCCGCTGGGCATCTCAAGTGTCGGCACGTTTTTTCCCTTTTTTTATGAATTGTAAAACCAACATGTGGACCCGCATTGGGCTTTCTCTCTACCCATCGGTTTCTCTCTGCCAGAATTTCCACCTGGACTGGTGCAAGCAGCCAGACGTGGGCCTCCCGAAGCCCGACCTGGTCGTGTTCCTGCAGCTGCAGCTGGCCGTGGCCGCGGCCCGGGGCGAGTTCGGCCGTGAGCGCTACGAGAACAGGGCGTTCCAGGAGCGGGTGCTGCAGCGCTTCCACCAGCTCATGCGGGACCCGGCCCTGAACTGGAAGGTGAGCCCGTCCCGCGGCCCCGCAGCGCCAGGGCGCCCCTGGGTTCCCGCTGCAGCCAGCCCCAGCCCTCGGTGGCTTCTCGCAGCGGGTGAAGTGGGAGCCTCTGGCAGTCTGCCGTCCCCTGTCCTCCACTGGCTGTAGCTCTGTGGCCCTGGGCCACTCGTCACTCTCCCCTGCCGTGTTTGTCGGAGCAGCGCCTCAGCTTGCCGTCTGTGGATAGCTACTCTCACCGAGAGTCGGACCTTGTGCCTTCCGGGGTCAGCCCTGTCTGCTCCCCTTCCAGTTTTTTAGGGTCACGTGTTCTCCCCTCCACCCCGACGGTTCTAGGTGCAGGCTGATCCCGTGTGCTCGTGGGGCCCGAGCCGGTCTCCACACCGGCCCCCAGGCCTGGCGGGGCGTTCCAGCCCTGACATGTCCCCTTGAGCTCTCGGTCACCTCCCTGTGCTCATCAGCTCCCTCCTGCCTCAGCGCAAGTTACGCAGTGCCCAGCCCCAGTCCAGGAGTCAGTGTCCTCCCAGCAGATGCCAAAACTGGCCCCTTCTCCGTCCCTCTGCCTGTGCCTGATTCCTGCCAGCACCTTCTCAGGTGCAGCCGAATCCCCTCGGCCCACCTGCGTGTCCCAGCACGGCCAGAGACGCCCGCCCTGGGCACACACCCCTCTTCTTCTGACGATGCTCACTGCCAGCACCACACCGCGTCCTTGCTGCCCTGCGGAAGGTCGAGGTGCTGGCCTTGGCTCCTGGTCCCGGCCATCTCGTCTGCTTTGCGCCTCTCTCCTCCCCACCTCTGCAGGAGCTGCGCGTGCTCGCCGCCCGCGGGCTCCCTCGGGCTCCCTCCCGGTGCAGCTTGCACCCCGCCTCCCGTCTCCTTCTGTGCTCAGGTCCATGCCGAGCACATCTTGTCCGAGCCTGGGAGGACGAGCCCGTCTTTCCCTCGTGGGAGCTCAGCACAGCGCGTCAGGCGACCTCCGTCTCTGCTGATGCGGATCATGTGAGACCCGGATGTCTGTCCCGCGTCTCTCTTGTCAGTCAGTTCTACACAGTTTGAACCTCGTTCTTAACATTTCACCGTCTGTGAGGGATGAGCCCAGACTGTAGGATGGGGACAGTGAATCGGGAAAGAGGCAGAGCCGTCACCCCCCACCACCCCGGCTCGCGCGTTTCCTCTCGGGCACCTTTAATGTTGCATGTTTCTTGGCGTCAAATCCTCAGCTTCATTTATCCGGCAGTTTATGTTTTTAGCACTCTTTTCCAAACTTTTTAAGCAGTAAGAAACTTGGAGAAAAGTTGCAAGTACAGTACAGAATCTCTTCCAAGGACCATTTGAAAATAAACGAGTACCTAACACCCCCTCAGCACGGGGACTTGAGCAGTTCTTACTGTCAGAATGGAGACATCGACACGGACCCTCCTGCTGTCAGGGCCCCGGGCTCATCCCGTCCCCGCAGGTCCCACTGGTGCCTTCACGACCAGCGGCCCAGGCCACAGTCACGGCTCTGGTCTCCAGCCTGTGACTGTCACGACCTGGCATTTTTGACGGTGACAGCAGTTATTTTGGAGGTGTGTCTCTTTCACTTTGCTCTTTCCTCGTGACGGCATCTTTGGCACAGAGGGATGCTGGGTTCCCACCGCGTCCTGTCACATGGCGTAGTTTCAGTGTGGTGACATTCACTTTGACCGCTTGGTTAGGTGGCACCTGCCGGCTTCTCCGCAGTGAGGTGACTCTTTTTCCCTCTGTAATTAGTAAGTGCTTGGTGGGGAGAGTCACACACGTAAACATCTCGCGCTCCTCAGACTCTGTATTTACATGTTTGTATCTGTGTAGACTCATGTTATTTTTGCCATTTCCCTGTCTGTCTGATGCCCACATTGCCCGAGGTCTGGCTCACGGGAGCCCCCAAGCCCTGTGGCAGGTCCCAACTCTGGCGCTTCTGCTCCCAGCACATTAAGTCTTCCGAGTCGCCCAGTTCTTGCCCATCCCACCTCCAGGGCCCCTGGTCCCCTCTTGCGGAAAGATTAGAAGTCGACACATGGGGACCTGGGGTGCTCGGTGCCACGTGGGTTACTGCTCCCAGTCTATGGGAGACCGGAGGTGGGCACGCACGGCAAGCCACCCCCGAGAGCTGTGTGCATGGTGTGAGTGTGAGGGACAGTTCTGTGCGAGAGCTTTGTGGCTGGGATAGTGGCCAGCGAGCTGACCTTCTGGAAGGGGGCACTTGTGGGCTCTGTGGTGTCTGCAGGGAGTCACTGTCGTCCACACAGTCTGGCCCCACGAGATGGTCAGATTCTCCTGAGTGGGCTGCTCGCCGGCAGCTTCTCCAGAGCTGGCTGTCCTCGGCCCCACAGGGGCTGGATACTTGGCCGAGACCCTGACCGACGGTGTTAGGGGACACCGCTGCCTGTCTTCCTCCTCCTGGTGGAGACCCCTTTCTCATGGGCTGGCCTGGTTGTGACCGGAGGTCTTCATGCTTCTCGTGTGAGGGTGCAGCCTTTCAGTGGGAAGCTGCATCAGCGCTATGGGAACAGTCCCATCCACCAGGGAGGAGAGGGTGGAGCTTCGAGTTCCAGCAGCATCTGGGCGTGGCCAGGCAGGTGCCAGGCACCTAGGTGGACACAGGCCCAGCGGGGTCATGGGTGAGAGTCGGAACAGAAGGCAAAGGAGCAGAACTGGGCTGCTGCAGGGGCCGGCAGCTGAGACCCAAGGACACAAGCAGAGCCCACCCTCCCCAGCTGAGGCTGAGGGTCAGAGAAGGTGCGGGGTGACGGGCCCCAGGGGACCTGCGCCATGTCCTCCCACACACCAAGAGCAGTGAGAAGCATTAACCATCCTCTGTCTCCTGACCCCTGTGGGGGGACAGGTGGTCGACGCCTCCAGAAGCATCGAGGACGTCCACGAGGAGATCCGCGTGCTCTCCGAGGACATCATCTGGGCCGCCACCCAGCAGCCACTGGGGGAGCTGTGGAAGTAGCTGGGCAGGGGCTCTGTCCCCGCCCTGTGCTCCTGCGAGGCGGGGCGCCTGCGGACTGCGTGGCCCCACTGCATGGAGTCCGGGCTGTGCACCGCCAGCCTCTCATGAGCCGCGGGCACCCATGGCCCACACCTCGTGTCAGCCAGCCCCGCTCTGCCCTGTCACCTTGAAGGTGCCGGTAATGACTGCTCATCAGCGTGTCCGGGCAGCCAGTCCCCGCAGTCGCATGGAAGTCACTGAAATGGTAATCGGTTTAAGCCCCCTGCATTTCTCACAGGCAGTAATAAAGTGTAGTTTGGAACTGTGTTGGAGAAGTTTGATTTTTTTTTGGCCTGGCGCTGTCCCACCCTCGCCTGGGAGTCTGGCCGTGGCTCGACCAGGCTCTGAGTGCCTTGCGTGCTGGCCTCCCGGGCCTGGGCTGGGCCGTACTCCAGTGCTGTAGTGTCCTGTCTGCCCGAGCACAGCCGGGCCAGCTTTGCTGTTCTCTCTGCGGTGACCTTAAATGCCAGGTGTGTAACTCCATGCTCTCTGACTTTGAATTGCTTTCAGGTGGCAGTGTCGACACCTCCCAGGAGAATGTGCCGGCAGGGAGCAGTGTGGAGCGCTGGCTGCAGAGGGAGGCAGGCAGGGTTCCTGTCTGCCCGCCCTGGGGGGCCCATGAGTAGGGACAGCAGCAGTGGGTCTCAGCGCCCTTCCTTCAGAGGCCAGGAGACTGGATTGAGGCGTGACAAAGCAATGTGACGCTCGCTTTGACATCAAGTTGTAAGTGGGCATGGGCTCGGGCAGAGCCTGCGTGTGGCTGGGAGGGTCCTCACAGCAGCAGCGCCCAGGGTCCTAGCTCCCCCAAACACGCATGGTCCACTCTTGTCCGGGTTCCACAAACAAGGCTGCCTGTTGTGTCCACAGTCACTCAGCAGGTGGGTGTGGGGCCAGGTTGTGCCAGGCTGCCCAGCCTTTGGTCCTGGTCCTTGCCCAACACCTCGAGAGGACAAAAGAAACAATGGGAGGGTGGCCCATGTCTGCACCAAAGCTCAGTCGGAGTGAGGTCACGCGGGGCAGTCCTCGGGTGCGGCTTTCTGCTCAAGGGGTGTGAGGGGGCCCTGAGGGTCGGCCTCGGGCATCTGCAGTGGAGAGTTTGGTTACGTCCACCCAGACAGAATTTGAGGACCCACAACTGAGTGACAGCAATCAGGAATGGCACACAGCTGTGTTCACGGCCACAGGTTGCTCACCTGCCCTTCACGGCTTCACGTGGCCAGGGCTGTGTGCTGTGCATAGGTGGGGATTGACTTCCTGAGACGAAACCAGTGGCTTGTCTGCCTCTGGTAGCTCAGCGTCACCCTGGGGGGGCCAGGCTGGCACTTAGTGAGTTGGGTGGGTGTTGGTGGTGGGCCCGGGCTCTGTCCCCCGCGCCTGCACAGGCCAGGCCAGGGCTGAAAGTGGACCCCTCAGCTGGAGCTGGGACAGGCTGGAAGTGACCAGAACTTTCTCTGGCTCAGGTCAGGACGTGGGGGCGTGGGGGAGGTTGCAGTACAGACCACTCAGGTTGGCTGTGGGGTCGGAGGTGGCAGGAGTTGAGCGAAGTCCCATGGGTGGTGGGCAGTAGGACTGGGGCAGAGACCTCAAAATGATCATGGCCACCTGAACTTAAGTGATGCGGCAGGTGCGAAGCAGCCGGTCAGGGCTGCAGCGGCTGGCAGTGGCCTCCACTGGCTTTGGTCTCCCCTCCGAGGAGCCTGCCAGGCGTTGTGGCATGGTAGCGGCCCCCATCCTCAGAACCCATGACCAGGGCACCTGCATGGTAGAGGGGACTGTGAGGTAGGAACACCCTAGGTTGTCCAGGACAGCCCCAGATGCTGTCACCACGGTCTCTACCTAGGGCGGGAGGGGCTGAGCCGGAGGGGACAGGGCCACGGAGGACAACGGTGTGATGCACATGGAGGGCTGCTCTGGAGAGGGAGGAAGGGGCTGTGAGCCAAGGAATGCGGGCAGCTTCCAGAAGTTGTAGAAGGTGAGTGAACATTCTCCTGGAGCCTGCAGGAGGGGCCAGCCCTGCTGACCTTTTGGTTTGACCTTTGCCCTCGAGATCCTGAGAGTAAGTCTTTGAAGCCACTGGGTGTGATTTGTTACAACACCAGGGGGTACTGGGGGCATTTTCCAGGGGCCACGACGGGCTCCTGGACCACCTCGCTGGGGACCAACGGGGCTTCCCACGTTCCTGTCTTTGACCCCTGCTGAGCAGGCTGGAGGTCACTCCCCCATATGTCCCACCAGGGCTGCTCGGGTATGGAGGGCAGACTGGCCAAGGCACCAAGCAGTGTCGGTCGGCATGGAGGTCACTGCTCTTCACAGTGACTATAGCTAACCTGACAGCCGGTGTTTCCTCCAGCCCTCCCGCTGAGGAACGGCTCACTGTGTTTTCCTAAGACTTGTCAATTCCTTGTGTTTTTTGCTTTTAGGACCCCAGGAGGCCAGTGTCACAGCTCACAGAGCCACGTCAGAGGCAAGCTATGCCTGCCAAGTGTGGGGGAGATGGGCTTGCCACAAGTCCACAAATCCTGAGAATCTTCCAAGTATAACTCGAGGGAAAATGAAGACAGAGACAAACTTTGTTTTCTACTGAAACTGTTATTTGCCATGAAGAACTGCAAACTATACCGCTAAGGATGAACAACACCCGCTTCAGTAAGCCTTTTTCAAAACCCTAAGAGAAGCCCCCCTTCGGTCACACTGCCACCCGCCTCCACTGTCCCTACCAACAGCGGGAGCTGCAGCAGGACCCCCCTCCTGCCCCAGCCCGCAGGGGGCACGTCACGAGATGCTGAAGGAACGGAACGCCCCAACCCTCCCCACACACTCTACCTGCGGATGGAGGTGGGCGGGGGAGTCAGAAAAGCAGAGAGACCACTCATGTCGGTGACAGTCGGGGCCTGGGCTGTCCTCTGCTGCCTCGTGGGCTGGCAGGACATTCGGGGACAGCAGCCACGCTCCAGCCCCCGAGCTCGTTCACAGTCCTGCTGGGGCAGAGGGCAGACACAGGCCTATGTGCGCCCTGGGCCCTGACACCAGGGTTCCAGGTGGCAGGTACCGACGGCTGTCCGTGCTGAGGATCATCTGGAAACGTCCCCTAGCGACGCGAAGTGAAGAGGCGCCCTTCCTGCTCCGTAAGCTGAGCATTGTACCCTCTGGCCACAAACCACCTGAAGCCTCAGGGGGATGCAGGGCAGTTCCGAGGACAGTCGGAGGAGGCTCCAGTGGGCATGGCCGGCCCCCACTCCCCTCTATGGGCCTGAGGATCACAGGCTAGGGCAGCGCCCCCATGCCCCAGGGGAGGGGGGACGGTGGTGGCACTGGGGCATCGCGGCCTGAGGAAGGCAAGCCCCTAGGGATTCACCTGTGGCTCCAGGAGAGCCCGTCTGTCCCGCAGATCACATGCAGGTGGCGACTTTGACTTGCACCACGCCCACCACCTGCTAGCTGTCCCCTACAGCAGGACCCCAAGGGCTGTGCAGAAGGCGGGGAGGCGGCATCCAGGGCGCACGTGGCGCCACCGCAGTTCTCCACGGGGACTCGGGACATGCCCAACAGAGATTCGTGTCTGTGTGGCTTCAAATGGGACTTTAATTCCAAAGCAAAACCAGAACCAAGAGCCCAGAGGACCCAGGCGACGCTGACGCAGGCTGGTGCGGCGCAGGGCAGCTCCGAGCTCCCGGCTGCAGCTGCGCTGCTTCCTGTGGTGGCTTCTCGCCTCCCCGTAGCTGGCGAGCGAGCGTCCAAGCGAGCCCCCCACGCCTGCAGTCGGGCCCCCGACAGCACGGTCCCATCCAGGGCAGGTGGCTGATGAGTGAATGTGCAGCGCCAGTGCCCGGAGCTGGGCTGGCTCTGAGATGCCCCCAGTGGCACCAGTGCAGATGTCCCCAAAAGCAGGACTTTCAAAGGGACAAGATTTCAAAGTCTTCATCTTCTGAGTCAAAGAACCTTTCCAGTCGCTCTACATCAGAAGAATCTACAAAAAAAAAAAAAAAAAAAAAAAGACAAAGCTTCGTCAGAGCCCCGCGCAAGCAGATCCTGGTGAGAAGCACCTATGTGTGCAGCCCCCGCCACCCTGTGCCAGGCCCACTGCCCCGGGCATCCTGCCCAACGGGGTGGCGGGAGGCAGGAGGGTATAGCCGTGCTGTCTGAGCTGTGTGGCCTCAGGGGGCGCTGAGCGGGCCAGAGCCGGGCAGCAGCAGAGGGAGTGGAGAGAAGCCCAGAGGCTCTTGTACGAAGAGGAGCAGCAGACACACCTCTCACCACAGCCCAGAGGAAAGTGACAGGGCTGAAGGTAGAGGCCGCCACCCCGAGAGGGGGCGCCAACCCCTGTGCCCTCTGGGGACTGACAGGGCATCTGTCCTGAGTCTCAGTGCCAGCACCTCGACGCTATGTAGCTTCCCTCAGGCAGAAGACTCTTCCCAGAGAGAAGGGACAGTACTGTCACTGTCCTCCTAAGTGTTCTTCACAGAGGGGGGACAGCAGCTCTGTCCTTGTCCTCGGCGGTCTTCATGGAAACACAGACGGAGGCATGGGCTGGACGTCCTCATGGCCTTCGCCGAGTGCCCGTTTTTCTGTGCCACCTGCTCGACGCCCCTTGAAGGAGGTGTGGGCTGGCACGCAGGCCCCAGGCCAGAGCACTCAGCAGTGGGAACGAGGCCGCCTGCAGCTCAGTCCACAGAGCAGAGCTGGCGCCCGCGTGGACAGCACTGCGTTCTCACAGAGCGCCTCACGTATTCTGGTCCCCACAGAACCCTGGGACCTGTGGGAGGCGCACCCAGATCCTGTGTGTGGAGCCAGGCGACTGCACAAGGGGTGAAGAATGGGGGGTCAAGCTGCTGCACCCAGGGTGAGGAAGGAACACTCGGCAGAGTCCCTCCCATGCAGCACACACAAATCAAGTGGTCGCATCTGGGGTTCATGCAAATCTTAAAGGTCAAAAGCAAGTGGAGCTGGGCCTGAGAGGCCAGAGACAGGCAGACAGCATCACACAGACCGCGCCTCAAGCAGCACAACAGGCAGTGCCACTGTCACCCCCTGAGATGTGGCCCTGTGGCCTCGGCTCACCTAAGGACAGGTTCAGGACATCGGGACAGGCCAGGTGGGACGGCTGTTGCTCCACCAGCTCAAACATGGGCAGGGCGCCTCCGAGAAGCGACAGCTGTCAGCAAGACACAGCCATGAGGGGGCGGGCACAGCCCACGGGGGTGCAGCCCAGACACCCCACCCTGGAGATGGTGCTTCGAGCGGAGGACACCCTGCGGCCAGCCCTCGCCACACGAGGCCGGAGAAGCCCCAGTTCAATCCCTGAGCGAGGTCAGTTCCCACGTCCTCCATTGCAACGGGGGCAATGCCAGAAGCAACGACCAAGCCAGCGCCACAGGACACCACACAGGCGTGGGTGGGGCACTGGTGGCGTGAGTGAGGAGGCTCACGCCAAACCGGAGCTGCCCGACTGGCCCAGAGCCCGTCCACGTGGACGGGGAGCCGCCACCCACCTTCTTGACTTGCTGGCACCAGTCGTCAAAATCGTCCTCGGTCTGGCAGAAAAACCCCTGGAATGAGAGCGTGGTGAGCAGGGGGTGGACCAAGCGGGCACTGGGCTGCACTGGGGCAGGGTGGAGGTCATGACCTGAAGGGGGGGCGGGGAAGACCACGGCGCCCATGCTGGACGCTGTTGTCATCCACAGCCAACCGTCCTCAGTTCCCTGGCCTCTGCCCCTCTCCGCCAGCGCCGTCCACGGCTGGACCTCGGGCCCCTGCCCCGCCTGCCAGGTCTGGAGCTGTGCACCTCAGGGCAGCTGGAACTGGCGGGGTGGGGTGGGGTGGGCGTGT